TTTTTCCTCTCGGAGCTGGCTAGCCCAGCCTTTTCTCCCCTATATAAATGGTTCATAGCATGAAAATTATATACAAATGCTGAAATTATTGTAATTAATGTCTCACATACCCTACAAAAAACATAAAAGGTATATCGGAGAAAGCAATATCTATAGTCCGCCAAACGTTTACCCGGAACCAACTTTCGGGTAGGTTTGTCATCGTAAGTGGATTGGGTTTCATCTCTAACAAACGGACCCTGTACATACATTTATTAGTAGAATAATACATGTGATTGAAGTTTATAAGAATTTTGCCATCACTTACCAGTCTGAAACCGTCGTTCTAATATGTTCATATTTGAAATCGTTTATGGGGTTATAATTACGAGTAAGATTAGGATGTAAAGCATATAAAGCTTCTCGTATTTCCTCGGTGGAATTCTGTAAACCAATTAGTTTTTTTATATAATAAGAGTAAGAGTACAGCAATGACAACACAGACAACACAGACAATACAATTTACCTTTGCAAAAGTACTTATGTAATTCAATAATTCATCATCTATTTGCATTTCACCTTGTTTATCAGATGCTTCTCTAATCTCCATTAATTCATTATTTGTGAACCCTGACTGAACAAATCTATCTTCACAATCAATAATGAATGAATGAACCAGGCTAAAAAATATGATTGAAATTTGAATCAGTCCTTAATTATTGATTCGAATTGCATACGTGTATTAGATATAATCGTACTTGTGGAATTTACATCTCATTCCTAAATCATACAAGACATCCTCAACAAATTTCCCACTCTTCAGCAACCATTTTTTTCGATCATCCATCGCTTCAAATCTATGTTTAAATGGTAATTAGGTGACTTATGCATAATCAAGATATGTGTCAGCAAAGTCCAAAAGATTCACCTTTTGGTAAAGATCATTCGATCACAATTATTAAATCCCTCATCATCCTCATTTGTCGGTCCAACCTCTTGATTAGGTTCTTTATTCGGTTGATCTGGTTCTTGATTAGATTCTCGATTGGACGGTTGACTAGGTCCGCTTAAATATTCGTCGAATGATAGATTTTTAATCGCCTCACAAGTCCCATCATATAGTTGTTAGACGAAACCTTTTTTGCTTGGTGACGAAAGACGAAACCTAAGCCCCAAAATGACGAAACCTCTGAC